ACTACCGAGCTCTCAACAAGCAGACGATAAAAAATAAGTATCCCATTCCTCGGATCGATGACCTGCTTGACCAGCTTCGGGGAGCCACGATATTCTCAAAACTCGATTTGAGATCGGGATATTGGCAGATCCGGATGGCGGATAACTCCATCCATAAGACGGCGTTTCGGACACGATACGGATCCTACGAGTACCTCGTCATGCCGTTCGGTCTCACCAACGCACCCGCTACATTCCAGGCCGAAATGAACCATATTCTTAGGCCTCTACTCGACGAATGCGTGGTGGTGTACCTGGACGACATCCTGATCTACTCGAGGGACATGAAGCAGCACATCGAACACCTACGACGTGTCTTCGAGATACTTCGACGGGAGAAGTTCTACGTCAAGCTATCCAAGAGCGAGTTTGCCTTGAAGAAAGTTCAGTTCCTTGGACACATGGTGAGTGCTCAAGGAGTACATGTGGACCCAAAGAAGATCGAAGCCGTACGTACGTGGAAGACGCCTGAAAACGTGAAGGAACTTCAGCAATTCCTTGGCTTCGCGAACTATTACAATCGGTTCGTGCCTAGCACAATATGCGAAGATTGCAACACCTCTCACCAACCTGCTGAAGAAGAATACACCATTTAGGTGGGAGGATGTACACCAGCGGGCCATGGAGCAGTTGAAAACCGCACTCACGTCCGCACCCGTCCTGATCCTGCCAGATCCAGAAAAAGACTACGTCATCGAAGCTGACGCTAGCGACCAAGCAGTTGGGGCAATTTTGATGCAAGACCAAGGGAAACGGCTACAACCAATCGCTTACCTGAGCAAGAAATTGCATGGGGCAGAACTCAACTACCCGATTCACGACAAAGAGGCCTTAGCGATCATCACCGCGTTCAAGACATGACGATGCTACCTCGAAGGAAGAAAGACCACGGTCTACACTGACCATTGCAGCCTGAAGTACCTAAAAACGCAGCCGACCCTCTCCAGGCGACAGGTCAGGTGGATCGACTTCCTCGAGACGCACTTCGACTACGACATCGTGTACAAGCCGGGACACAAGAATAAGGCAGATGCACTGAGCTGGCCGGGACACGTTGCCGCCATACAGGTTGAGGGGATGAATCCGCTACTTAAGGGACTCTTTACGCACGGGTACACTATCGACCCCGAGATTCCCTTGGCAGAGAAGAAAAAAATGCTGCAGTGGGACCACGACATCGCACTACGCAAAGGATCAACAAAGATATGGGTACCCAACTACCCACCTCTTCGGCAGTTGCTTCTTGAGGAGTTCCACGATGTGCTTTACGCTGGACACTTCGGGAGTAACAAAACTCTTGCAGGGATTGAGAAAGTCTACTATTGGCTTCACATGGCAGACGACGTACAGAAGTTTGTCACTTCGTGCGACACGTGCCAACGGATGAAGAGCAGTAAGCAGAAGAAAGCAGGACTTCTTCAGCCTCTGCCCGTCCCGGAACAGCCTTGGCAAGTGGTCAGCTTGGACTTCATCACTGGGTTACCACCTACCAAAGCGGGACATGACGCCATCCTGGTCGTTATCGACAAATTCTCAAAGATGGGACACTTCATTCCGACACATACAACCGCACGCACGGAGGAAACGGCACAGCTGTTCGTCAAGCACATCATCTCACAGCACGGGATCCCGACAACCCTTATCTCCGACAGGGACCCCAAGTTTACTAGCAAGTTTTGGAAAGAGCTCATGTCGCTCATGGGGACACGCCTAGCGATGTCATCCGCATATCATCCCCAGACCGATGGGCAGACAGAGCGCTTGAACCAGATTGTGGAACAACTCTTGCGCGCAACATGCAAGGATGACATTAGCAAGTGGGACTTGCACTTGCCGGTGTTGGAGTTCGCCTACAACAATGCGAAGCATGCCGCAACAGGAGAGACTCCATTCTTCCTCTGTTACGGTCGACATCCGCTAACTCCACAGCAGCCAACAGTACCTGCAAGCGTCCAGCCCGCGCACGACTTCGTTACTACAATGCAGCAGCTTTGGGATCGGACACACAAGCGCCTGCAAGACATCCAGTCTTCACAAAAACGCTCAGCCGATCGCCATCGCCGTGATCATACCATTGCGGTTGGTGACCATGTGCTTCTCGACACATGCAACCTCAACCTCGGTCACCTTCCATCCAAGTTGCGACCTCGCTTCTGCGGACCTTTCCTCGTAGAAGAGCAGGTCACTCCAGTCACATTCCGCTTGCGCCTACCAGCTACTTGGAAGATTCATAATGCCTTCCACGTGCAGCTTCTTAAACCCTATCGGGATCCAAATAAGCTGTACACGGGACGCCAACCTCCGCCGCCGCCTCCAGTCCTCGTGAATGATGAACCTGAGTACGAGGTCGAATCTGTGCTTGCACATCGTCGTCGTCGGCATGGCGCCCTGGAGTTTCTCATACGCTGGAAGGGCTATGATCCTTCTGAGGATAGCTGGGTCTCTGAGGAAGATATGACTAACGCCCGACGTTCTCTCCGAGACTACCTTGTCAAGCAGGGTGTTACATCTACCACCCAGCTTTGAGGGGGGGAAGTGTAAGAGTACGTCGACGTTCGACATATTTCTCATTTCCATGTTTTAACTTTATCTTATTCTCCTTATTTTCCTCTTTCATTTGCACTTTATTTCACCTCAATCGGACTACTATTCTATTTTCTAGAGCTTTTCAACTATTTCACTTATTTTGTGTTGTCGGCACCGACAATTACATTTTACGGCACCGACAGCACCGACGGTGGTGTACAAGGCGTAATCTCGCCATAATCCAATGTGCCAATGGGCTTGCGTGCTTATGCGCACTAGTGATTATCTATCCTAGAAGAGCGCGTTCCCGAAGGTTCGGATTATCGCTTGTTTCTATGTATTTCTGAGTATAAATACGCCTTGTACTCACCTTTAGTGCAACATTCTCGAGTGGAAATTCGATCCTGTGACACGGGGGATCCTGGCTGGGTGTTTTGATGGGGTATTTTGATGGGGCTTTTTATGGGTGTTGCGTTTGGGTTTTTTGGGTAGTTTTCCTTTCCTTTTAGTTTTTATTCTCCACCTCCATTCTCCTCCATTTATTTCCTTTTTCCTTCTCTCTCTTTCCCTTTTCCTCTTTCTGTCTCGGATCATGTATAGTGCATAATCAATTGGTCCGAAGAATGTTGATAAAATAGGGTTCATCGTAGGTAGTTTGCAGCAGCAATAAGAATAAAATACATTTGTCCTAGTGAATATCAAATGACAGAAGTGGTTATAGCGAGGGCATACATCGGATTATCTAATACTACTAAGGAACCCGAAGCGACCTTCCGTCATGCCCCGGATATACCCCCAGGCCTATGTTACACCCATGCGGTTATAATCGTACCAGTGGGCTTATAGCCGGGTGCCGATTATAACCCCACCCTAAATTTGGTTTATCTTCGTATAAGCGCACCCTATGAAATTATACTCAAATCTGTGTTTTTCTAGTGAATTCGCCACTAACGCGTCAGGAGCAATCGTCGCTGACGTGCCTGGCGAAGTCTTCCCTGGCCCACCTGGCGAAATTGCCACAGGCGCGCACGTGTTAGCAACATTTCAGCACGTCATGGCAGGGATTTTCGCCAGGGTGGCTGATTCCCGGTAAATTTTAAAGCAAACTGTTTTGTGGTAGTCTCGATTGAAACCGCAAGGCTGAGATCTACATTTCTATGTTTTGAAATCATAATTCTCTAAGTGTCATTTATTTCCGCCATGGGGTTATACAGTTTACCACATTATAAGCCCACCCACCATTTTTCCAAGTTTTATTACACCCCCATATGGGGGTATATCCGGGGCATGACGGTACGATACGACGCCGCTGCCTGCCTCACGCTAATGGACCTTCTCTTAAAGGATGAATTTGCCCACTTTACCGTAAACGCCCGGATATAAGACAGTGTTGAATAGTAGACAGGGGTTGTCTACTATACGGGTGTCTCTTATAAACAGGCTAGCCTCATTATAAGACACCTATTTGTGTGTACGAGATAAGACATATATGTCTTATAATCGAAACTTCAATATATTATAGCGAAAGTTGAAATAACGCGTACATTTTTACCCTTGCGAAGCGCGAATTTCTCCACGCGCTGACCCAGGACCTACCAAATTTGCCTCTGCAGGTGTTCTCCATGACGTGGCGTCCCGGGCAGTGGTTGCCGAAGTGGCACCTTCGCAACATCCACACTCATTATGAGGAACTCTTTTTCAAGGAGTACGGAAAATATTTATAAGTAGTTTAAAAAGTTTCCATTTATAAGATTTATAAGACACCCTAAAGCATCCCGTTTACAAGATAACTCAAGCATTTTTTCCCGTGTACGAGATAAGACATATATGTCTTATATCCGGGCGATGACGGTACTCAGGTCGAGTCCGCGAAGGAGTGTTAAGGCACTATTGTTGCTTGTTATTCCACCCCTTTCTTTGCCTCCCTCAGTTGTTCCCTCGTGCTGTTCGTGTTCCCTGACATTGGCTTGTTTGAGAATGTTTCTGACATGGTTACTCATCGACTTTTCCCTGAGCTTGGATGTTTGCCCTGATTGTAGCCCTAAAGTTACAAGTGAAGTTGTTCAGAGCAATGCTCTTCATAAGACATAGATTCACACAGTATTAGGTAGTTTTAAGCTTTAGAAACGTTGTACGGTAATCGTGTTTATACCGGTAGGATACCCAGGGTAGGCGTCTCATGTCGCACACGCATGTATCTTACAATAATAAGTTTTGTCTACAAGAAAACACCCATGATAAAAACATGTATGTTGTCAATTCAGCACAAGCTTCTATTCAGGCGATGGTGTTATAAGCCCCCCAATGCGTCAATCGGGAAAATGATGGTACACTCCCACTGGACATTTGAAACATAGAGAAATCATCTGCCACAGACCGTTGGTATCCAGCCAAACGGGGCCAGCACGGCAGATGCAATGGCAGCCTGCAGGAGGTCAGTTGTCACAGACTCCTTGCTGAAGCTTGACTTTGTCAGGCAGGCACACGCGGGTTGCTTTGATGAGCTTGTCGATGCAGTCGTATCCGTTGATGTGCTTGTAGCAGCCCTTAATGCCCCGGAAGTACTTCACCTGAATGGCCGTGCACCTGTCGCCTGTCCCCACCACATACGCATTCGCACGCGGGCACGTGCCCTGCTTGTACGACGTGGAGCTCCCAATGCATGCCTGGGGGGGGGGGGGGGGAGGGGTGGTGCGTGGGGTGGTGGAATGAAGAACAGGGAAGTGGAGCTCGCAATGCATGCCTGTGGGGGTGAATAGGGGAGGGAAGGGGTGGAGTCAAGAAGAAAAGGGAAAGAGAGTAAAAGAGAGCAGTCACGAGAGAACCAGCTAGGCAGTAAGCATGAGGGAGGCGGCAAGCCAATAAACTGAAAGAGAGGAAGGAAAGCTGATCCACAAGGAATGGCAGAGAGGCATGAGCAGAGCCGGTGCCACACACGCACCTCAAAGCCAGTGAAGCCGTCAACATCAGTTTTGGGAAGGAGGCGGTTGCACTTGATGCCGGGGTTGAGGCGGAAGAAGTCAACGGGGCTCAGAGGGGGGTAGGGCACATTGCGGATGGACTCGCACGTCTCTGCGCTCTGCACCAGGTAGTACTGCGAGCACACCGGGATGAGCCCCACTTTTCTCTTTATGCGCTCCATACACACCGCCTGCTCGGGCTGCAGCAGCCCGCCGTTGGCAGTGCAGTCCAAGCTGGGGTTGAGCGCCTGAAAGGCTGGCAGACAGCTGTCAGATGGGCAGGACCAGTGCACTTTGAAATACTCAGCTAGGGCCGTGCAGGTGTCGCCCTGAGAAGCAGATGGGCAGGGAGGAGGAGGTGGGAGGCACGGGGAAGCAGGAGTGCGAGAGTGTGAGGGCTCCACTCAATATTGGGAAGTGAGGTGAAAGCAAGGTTAATTCTGAGGTTAGGAAATGGCAGTTGAGGGAAGACGGAGGGAGGGACAGATAGTAGCACAGAAAGACACGGGTGGAGAGGCAGATAAATGAAGGCCAGAAATTGGCGTATTGGCAGGAAGGGTGTGAGGTGGGGACCTGCTGAGTGGTGTAGAAGACGGAGCAGGCGACAAGAGAGGCTGGGCTGGCCACTTTGAGAACCGTGGAGGGTGGGATGGGTGCTGCACACGACACCGATGGCTGCACAGACCATGGAAGAGGCAAGAGAAACACGGCACACACCCAGGCAGGTATGAAGAGGCAGGAGATGGCATGTGATGTACGTTCTGGTCCGATGAGTTTGCTTGTATCATTATTTAAAATTCTCAGTGGAGGAAACGCACGTTCTGGGTTTGGAAATCGGTGAGAGTGAGGCCGTAGACCGGAAAGACATCTGAGCAGCGGACGTTGGGAGAGAGCACGGTGTAGGTGTTGCTGGTGTCACCTGCATGCAGCACAGCAAGCAACACACGCGTGCAACAAAGAACAACAGAAATTTTCAGCAGAATTGAGCAAGCGGCAGGCATACAGAGTACAGCATTGTCGCATACAAGGATGTTGGAACCTAAACTCGGTACTTATGTTTACGTGTATGCCTTTTTCCGCACCTCCAGAAGAAACCTATGGTTTACGGCTGCGGTGTATCTGCCGTGGGGCAGGTGTTGCAAGTTTAGTCAAGAATCTACCAAAACTCGATTTCCAATAGCTGAAGCAGCCTACGCGTTCGGTTGTTTGTATGATATTCTGCAAAGAATCGAACCCAAGGCTTACGTTGCATGTCCCAGTCAGAAGGTACCTGGAGCACAGGAGAAGGTACCTGGAGCACAGGAGAAGGTACCTGGAGCACAGGAGAAGGTACCTGGAGCACAGGAGAAGGTACCTGGAGCACAGGAGAAGGTACCTGGAGCACAGGAGAAGGTACCTGGAGCACAGGAGAAGGTACCTGGAGCACAGGAGAAGGTACCTGGAGCACAGGAGAAGGTACCTGGAGCACAGGAGAAGGTACCTGGAGCACAGGAGAAGGTACCTGGAGCACAGGAGAAGGTACCTGGAGCACAGGAGAAGGTACCTGGAGCACAGGAGAAGGTACCTGGAGCACAGGAGAAGGTACCTGGAGCACAGGAGAAGGTGCCATCGATGGTGGTGCCCTGCCTGAAGCCCGGTGGACACACACACGAGTACGACCCCGCCCCGTCATCCACGCACTGCCCCACCACACACGGATTGCGCTGGGCTGCCTTGCATGCATCCTCTGATGGAGAAACGGAAGGGGACGGGAGGAAGGAGAGGAGAAGGTCAACGAGGGGAAAGGAGGGAAGCAAGGGTGGCGATGGGTGGGATGGAAGGGGAGAGGAGGAGAGCAAGTGGGAAGGGGATGAATGAGAGGAGGTGGTGGCTGTGAGAACGGTGAGAGGAGGCAAGCACTGAGAGGCTTTCAACTTGTAAGAACGTCAGCAAACAGTGTCAAACAAAATCAGGCAGCAACAGTAGCGGCAGCAGCAGCAGAGGCTTACTGTAGGCGCATGTGCGAGAGCCATCGGCGTTGGTTGCTTGGATGAAGCGCGGGTCGTTGCAGTCACACTCGTTTGTCTTGCCCTTCACCGTGCAAGTGAACTTCCCGCAAGGATTGAAGAGCGAACCAGTGCTATCATTGCGGGCGGCCTTGTTGCAAGGGTCTTTGTTGGCTGCAGGTAGAGAGAGGGCGGGAAGGGAGGGCTCAGAAGCAAAACGGTGGGTTCTGAACTCAGCAAAAGCGGGTTTTGAATCAAAAGATGACGTTATGAGTTGAACTCAGCCCATGTAGTCAACTCAGCCCATGCAGACAACTCAGTTATGTAGTCAACTCAGTCTTGATTATGCACTCATCTTCCATCTTATACTCTCTTTTGACCTTTTTCTCACTCACCCTTGGCCGTGCACCCACTCACCTCTGACCACGGGGTAGAGGCCTGGCAGCGAGTTGATGCCGCACACGCCATCCCCCCCCTGGATGTCCATGCGCATGTGGCCCCCATCGCCCCAGTCAGGCCCCCATGAGTTGCGGATGATCCAGAAGGGCGGCGCCATGTGGGGGAAGCGCGAGTCCTTGCCCACCAGGCGGTACCCCACCAGCAGCACCACGTGGTTCAGGTTGTACGTGAAGCACGCTGGGTCCTGGTACTTGGACAGCTGGGGAAGGCATGAATTGACAAGGCAACAAGTGATTAGACACCATGTGCTTGTGTAAGGGGGTTATTCATGCGTATGGAAAGGGAGGACTGGTCACCACGACCATTTGATGATCAAATCCGCAAATCGTTTCTGACAGGACAGTCACACAACTCCCCCGTTGATGAAAACCAATGCTCCTATTGAATCAAACGCATCAGCCAACCTCCTATTTACATGCACACTCCCCGTCTCACCCCATCGTAGTTCTTGAACGAGTCGGCGGAAGCCTCAATGTGCACCACCACTGGCTGCCGCTGCACGGCCAGCAGCAGCCCAAACCAGCCGTAGAAGGACGTCGACTCAAAGCCCTTGATGGGGAATGTAGTGGGGAGCTGCAAGGGGATGGGACGGACGTGGTGTGAACGATGATGGACGCATGGGTATGGACGAGCGAGGACCAGAGCACACAGAGCTATAGCATGGAACAACATGTAGGTATCTGAGCACACAAGAGTGAAAGAAACTTGAGTAACACAGAAATCAACTGCTCGAGTGAAGTTGACTCTACCTGGCCACAATTCCCTCTATTTCACTCACACGTGGGTTAGCAGAGCCGTTGCCGCACGACACACCGAGCAGCTTTGCCAGTGGCTTCAGCAGCGGAGAGCAAAGAGGATTGCTGCTGCCTGCCTTCACGACGGCCTTCTTGGAATTTCCAGTCGACGCCTGGCTCTCCAACACGAGCCCGCCTCCTTTTTGTGCCAGCTTGAGCAGCAGCTGGAAGGCCTGAGAGGGCGTGCTGCCAGAGCAGCCGACCTTCATGGCGGCCTTCAGCTGCTCCACTGACAGCGGCTGCACGGCTGAGGTGTTGGCGAGAATGCTGTATGCTGCCTCTATGCTGCCCACCACTGCGTACGCCCAGCAGTCGCCTGCCAGGAAATGAATTGCAGGAGGGTTACAGAGGGGTTCTGTGTGTTGCATAGAGGAAACACATGGTTTGTGTTGGGACACTATTGTCACAATATAGCATGCTATCGCTTGTAAGAAGTTGAGGCTGAAAAAAGTACATTGGGTAATGAGCTCACGGCTCTAAAGTACATAGGAAATGGTCAAGGAAGGGTTTGAACACTGTGTTGTTTGGGGCACTGTTGTTGCCCTCTGAAGTTCTTGCTGGGGCACTAGATTGTGGTGTAGTGAAGGCACACATATACCAGTGACTGTGGCGGATGGGAAGGCGGGGCACAGTACTGTGACAACCTGAGGCTCAGCATGAGTGGTGAAGCTCGAGCTTCATCACTGGGCTGGAGGCGTTCATTCTTGAGTACTGTGAATGGTCCCACTGTCAAGTTTGAATTCTTTTGAATCCGGTGCTTGTGATGAGTTGAGGTATTGCGAAGTCGTTTCATTAATAATGGCAGTCTCAGGGAACATCATGTCGAGATGCACATCAGCAAGGGCACTAGCACTAGCATGAGGAGGTTTCTTTGCCTCTGCTTGGTTGACCTTACGAGGGCGCATCCAGTTCGGCGGCTTCGAGTCAATTCCATTGCAGACATCCATTCGTTTCTTTCTTCTTGAAGTGAATAACAGAGGGGTGATTAGCGCCACCACACACTTGCCCCTTGCGGTTGCATGATTGATGACGTAGGTGCATGGAGAGAAGCGGTTGTGCTGGAAGGGCGCCAAGGTATTGCTTGGGGCATGGGAGCACAGAGCACGTAGGCCTTGGCTTGAACTGTGGTGTCTTTCTCGCAAAGGGGAGTGCTGAAGAAAAATACGAGGAGTGTGAGGTCTTCCGCAGAGAGGGCGAGGAGCATTTACTTGATGACCTCGTATGTCGGAACGAGGCCCGCAAGAAGAGTGGCCGCTCAAGGCTTGTTCAAGAAGACAATGACGGCTTGAAATCTTACGATGTAGTCGACCACACTTGGGGAATCCTCGAGAAAATCTTGAACATGCTCGGGATATGGATAACCATCCCGATCATCGTTTTCTTCATAAAACGATTATGGAGGTGCTTCTATATGGCGTTGGAGGTAGGGTTGTCATAGTAAATGAGTTTATTGGTGGGTTGAATGTTTTTATCACTCTACTATTGTTGCTCCCAAGTGGTTGTGAGAAATCAAACCAGGTTGGCAAGTGTAGCCAATTTATGTGAAGCGGATTACATGGGTTCGGAGAAATACAAGAGAGTGGAATTTAGATTTCTATAGGGAGGACCTTAATATGCTTATGGGGTTTCACTGATTAGATGCCCTCTAGGGACCTTCGTTCTTGTCCTATTCATCATCTTCTACCTGACTTTAATTCTTTGTTACAATCTTGGTTGAGCGTTGAAGCTTGAGTCAAGTTTACAACCAACCTACTCAAATACGGTTGTCTAGATTACAAAAAGGCCCTTTCATTGGAAAATGTGTTAGCCAATAGGGCAAGCTTCCTCTTTAGTCCCCTCATTCGCCTTCGTTGTACTATGGACTCTACAACGTTTTATCATTGTAATTGTACCAAGATGGTTCGAGGCAGACAGGCGCGACTTCAATTGGTGCTCGTGCGTACCTACTATGGAGTAAGAGTGGGGGTCCAGCAGTGCTTACCGCAAGTGGTTTGTGTCTTGACAGGCCATGTGAAGTTTGGACGGAACCATGAAGCTGCGGGGCGCACGCCATACACGTCGTTGCCACCCACAGCAGCAACACTGCCCGAGCTGGCATAGCGGAAGAAAAGATTCATCCCCGATAAAGAGAGTGCCGCCTCGCTGAAGGTAAAGCCCAGCGCTGCATCTGCGATCCAGAATAGGGTATATGGTATTCATGAGCAAGGACTTCTGAGCATCTGAAGCTGGTTCGAAATGCAACTCCATTGCTTGCCCATAAGGAAGAAAAAAACAATCAAATTTGTCATACCTGGCGTTGGCTGGATAGGAAAATCTGAAAAGAAAGAACAAAAAACAAAACAAACAAACAAACAAACAAACAAACAAACAAACAAACAAACAAACAAACAAACAAACAAACAAACAAAGAGCTGAGTTAGGACAGGCTGTAGTAATTGCTCATCAACTTTCTCTCTTAACCCATGGCCAATCGAACAGAAAAGCAGGGACCACAGGTGACAGGATGGATGCACGGCTGCACTCGCCTGTGGCCTGGGCTGCACTCACGTGTGGAGAGGGTCCAGGAGGAGACGACATGGCTTTGAGGCTGGGTGGCGGAGGCAGCAGTGAAGCCGGTGGCAAAGGTGTACTCCGATGGGGAGGGGGCGAGCTCCTCACACAGGGAGATGCGTGCCGACAGGAGGGGGGTGGTGGGGCGAGGTGACGCCTTGGAGGAGAGGAAGACACGCAGGGAGCCACTGGAGGAAGGGTCGTACTCGATCCACGCGTACTTGGCTGTGCCGTCATTAAGGGGGAAGCTTGGCTTGGCTGTGACCACTGACACGACACTGCCGCCGGTGTTGATGCCCACGTGGTTGCTGTCAGGGTCGCTGTTGCCCGCATCCATCGACGTGTCAAACTCCACTGCCACGCTGCGCGCTCCCATCCCCGCATACCCCATGCCGCCCGCCACCGGTGTTGTGGGCGGGGTGGCATCAAAGGCCACCACAAAGGCAAAGCCTTCGGAGCCGGAGGCAGCAGGGCGGGTGAGAGTGAAGGAGAAGGAGGAGGAGAAGGCGAGCTGGCGGCCGCAGGAGTCCCCAATGAGCTGGTAGGAGAAGAGCGGCACGCGCGCTGCCAGGAACACACTGCCAGCCTTGGACGACTGGGAAGGCGTGAGAGTGAGCGTGGCTGCATTCACTGATGCGTCTCCCGTGGCGGTTAGCATGGCTCCTGTGGGTGTCAAATCCTGCTCCGTCTTACCACCTGGAAGTGGGACGGAGGCATAGTGATGGTCAGAGTGGTGAACACGCTTTCTTAAAGGAGGCATGCAGCAGGTATTAGCTCAATCAAGAAAAGCAATCACAAAAAAGGTTGCTTGCTTGGCAGCAGTACAAGTAGAGTGGAAACAAGGCACATGGCATGGCATGGGATGCTGCATGGATGCTCAACACGCAGGATGTGAGTAGCTGACCTGCCACAGGCACGCAGCTGCCAGGGAACTCCCCAATCACGTAGTTATCGTCACAGAGGCATGTGGGCGTGTTGCTGGGGCCGTCCAAGAAGCACACGCCATGGCCATTGCAGGCGGGGACAGGAGGGGTGGCGGTGCCGTTGACGCCGCAGAAGGCAGTGCAGACAGGGTCAGTCTTTTGCGCCTCGTCCGCACCACATGCAAAGCCCGCTGCTGGCGTGGCCGCACAGTTGGCGCGGTATGTGATGTAGCCTTGCCCGCATGGTGGGGGGGACGAGAAACCCTCGCTCAAGTAGTTGTTGTCCAGCTTGTAATTGCTTATTGATGCTGGCACGGGCTCGAGTACCTTCCCTGTCAGCAGATTGTTCCTCAGATTGCTGCCGATAGAGGTGGAAGGATGGGGGATGGAAGGATGGGGATGGAGGGATGGGGAGTGCAAGGATTTGGAATGGAGGGGTGGGAGATTGAAAGATGGGGAATGTGGGGATGGGGGATGGAGGGATTGGGGACGGATGGATCTGGGATGGAGGGATGGGGAACCTAACGAGGGAGAGAAAATGATGGAGGAGCAGAAGCTCATATCCGGGGAGCCTGGGAGCAGAACGGATAGAAGAAAGCAAATATATCGTTGGAAGCATGACAGGATAACTGATTTGGGAGCGTTTGGGGGAGTTACAGCGTGTATAGATTGCCAAGACTAGCAAGACCTTGCGGTATGGTGCCAGTGAGGCGGTTGGAGCTCAGGTCCCTGGATGTAACAAAAAGGGAGGGAGGTGAAGACTGAGGAAACGAAAGTACGAAAGCAGGAGTGGTATGCTTTACGAAGACATGAGCTCTAAGCTATTGGTTCTAAGCTATTAGACATGAGCTCAGCCTGCTCAGCTAGGTAACATGGTGAGCTGAGCCTCTTCTTGAGATCGTGCCTGCTCGTCAAAAAGCGATCCATGCCGGGGAGTTTGTCACCTATGATCCGAAAGAAGCATCCTGCGTCCTGGACGCATGCGTCCAGACGCAGGACGCTGAACCTGAACATGTAAGACGCACCAAAAGAAGCAAGCCCGGGCAGGGCAAAAAAAAACCCCTGGGCAGGCAAAAAAAAGTAGTACAGGGCTTGGGAGAGGGGGGGATGGGGACCTACCATAGCTCGAGGAAGCCACAGCGGAGTTTAGATAGTAAGCTAAGCTAAAACCTAAAACCTCTATGGGTTTACGAAAGAAAATTGGTTGGGAGGGGAAAATGAGAAGCCACAAAAGGTTGCCATGATAAATGTGCTTGATGGTGGTGGGCCACAAAGGTTGGGATTCGTAGATGCTAAGTGGTTGAGTTGTTAGGGAATGTTAGGGGGGCTGGTTTTGAATGGCGAATTGGGCTTGGGGTGGGGAAATTTCGCGATTTCGACATTCGCGTCTAGCGTCCGGACGCAGGACGCAGCGTCCTAGCTGCGTCTTTCTAATCATAGTTTGTCACAATGAGGCCTCTCGGGGCACTGAAGTCAACCTGAGGGGTGAAAGGCCGGAACAAGCGGGGCTGCTCGAAGTGAGCCGTGGGGTTGGCTCAAAGTGAGCCCTCCCCTCCCCCACTCTCAACTCTCCCCTTCCCCCAAGCCGAGCCCGCTCACTTGGCCAAACAGGCAAGAGTGTGCAACGCACGCTCAAGAGCAGTTAATCGAGAGAGTAAAAGGCCGAGACTTTAACTGGGCATGCAAGACAGAGAGAAATTGCAGTGGCAATGTCAGTGGTGCAGAGATGTCAAGAAAGGAGTGAAGACAATTTTAGGCAATAAGTAAAAGGAGAGAAACAAAGCCATCAGCACAAGAATCTCCACAGAGGAGGCAAGTATGTGCTGATGGGGACACACAACACACGGACAAAATGAACTGCGCAACAACGAGACACAGACTCAACGTGCTTTGGAGGGGTAAGCCAGGGTGGGGTGCAGGAGGAAGGGGGGAAAAACTAGTCACAAAGAAGCAGAGGCTCACAGCACTGTGAGGTAGACCAAGCCGGTAATGTCGTCCGGTATCGTGCCAGACAGCTGGTTGTTGCTCAAGTCGCTGGGGAAAGAGAAGAGATAAGTGGCACACAAAGACAGGGGCAGTTGAACATCTGACCAACCGCAATGGAATGCAGGCAAGGAGGCAGCAGAGGGAGATGAGATAGACGTGATGGATTAGCTTGGACGGGGGTGGGGGAGGTGGAGAAGAAAGTGGCAAATGAGATGCAGAGAGGAATGCACATGGGATGCATTCCTTGGTTTAGGGCGATGTGCACATGGGCTCGGGCAGTAGCAGGGAGCCAAAACATTCTAGACGGTCGTTGCATGTAGACATGGAATGGGGATGCAGTGAGGCATGGGGATGCAGTGAGGCATGGGGATGCAGTAAGGCCATCTAGAGCCCGAGGTTGCCCTGTGCTGACAGACATGTGATGTGTGGCATGGTGTAGTGCGATGTAACAGAGCCGCACCGAACACAGCTCTGCTGCCCGTCTGTGCTCGTAGAAATGGGGTAAGGCTCCTTACAGGCCAAGCCAAGCCAGTACTGGTTCGGTTCGAACCAGTTCTGGTTCGACTTGGTATGAACCAAATTGGTTGTGGTTTGGCTCTTTCTCAGGCTCTAACCCATGGCCGATACCAGTCCTCAATGCTTTTCATACACCAGTACCGGCACAAATTTCTGTTTCCTACAAAGGGAAACACTAAACATGGGTGAATGTGGTACAGGGGTGGGAGGGGTCTGTGGAGAAAGGCTACATTCAATGATTTGACAAGACCATGCATGGAGGAAAATAAATTAATAAATTAATAAATAATGAAAAAAAAAACTGCACACACACAAAAAAAAAAAAAAAAAAAAAAAAAAAAAAAAAAAAAAAACTGCACAAGAAAAAATGGCCGCAAGAGGTACGATTCTGTCTCGTGCAGCTCGTGATGTGGTGCGGCATGCCCAGGGGTGTGGTGTGCAGTGCAACATGTGCACTGACATATCAGTCATAACCCAGTAGCGATTGTCACATGAAAGCACCCATGCATACTTCAAGAAAAAGAATGAAAGTAGAGCAAAGATAAAAAAACAAACATCTTATTAAGATTAGTCGTCGTCCACGTGGTTGGAAGGGGGCCAGTAATCTCGTTGTTTGCCAAAACACTGGGGGGAAATGTGCAGTTAGAGCAGGGAAGAGAGGAGTGAGCGCGAAGGGAAAATGTATCAAAACGGAGGGAAATGTGAATACACAAGAGATCTGAACAATGTGCATCCCGGTGCAGCTATGGCAGGGCGTGAGTGAGAGGCCATCCGAGAGGCAAACCTACATGAGAAGAAGCGAGCCTAGTGATGGGCTTCAAGCGCCGAACGAGTAAAACTGATTGGTCTAGGAGTGGCACGTGAATCTGCAGAATGCATTCCATCAAACCTCTGATCTCTTGGCCAATCTGAGCTACACACAGGTCAGTCACGTAAGCACAGTACGCGGTTTCATTGGTTCTAACAAATTGGGCCTTGGCCTTCAACCGGCAACACTTCTAAAAAGGAAGGCAGCGCAGCTAACTACCATGCACTTATGCCCATGCACCATGTCCCATCTCATCTATGATCTACCCCAAAAGCCTTACCCACCGACCAAACCCATACCAGATCCACATGCCTAATACGCACGGTACATGCCATGAGTTCCCGCCCATGCTGTATTTATCTGCCCATGTCTCACAGCTCGAATAGTACGGAAAGAGTGGCCAGGTTGGTAGGGATTGTCCCACTCAGGTTGTTGTTCTCCAGCTCACTGCCGTGCAAGGCAAGAGCGTGCAGGGGCAGGGGGGAGGAGGGACAGGTGCAGAAGGCCAGGATGGGAGGAAGGGAAGGGTGGGACGGGAGATGGAGGGATGGAAGGGTCACATGGGAAGGAGGATCAGGTTCGATTGAGAAGGAACGCCAGGCGGCAGAAAATCGATTGAAGGGTTAAAAAACGGCCATTCGTATGAAAAGTTACCGTAACTAGCAGTCGTTTCAAACGTCTTAAAACGGTTCCCTGAGGTGTTTCTTGTTTGGAATAAAAAGGGAGGCCGTGTTATGGGACCAAATTGATGGCCGTGTTTGCTCCCAATTAAGGCTGTTAATCACAGCCAGGAAACTAGTTGGTAATTTTAATCTACCTGGTTGGACACGGCCAGGGGGTGTGGGGAAATATCATTAGGAGGGCATGGCCAAGGACAGAGGGAGAGCAAGAAATGCTATCAAGACAATAAAGATTCGGATTACCAAGTTTCAGCAAAATATTGGCCTGAAAGCGATGCGCGTGACTCAGCTGAACTGCAACGCGCCTGACCCTGTCCGCGCAACGAGACATCCCAGTTGGACCCATGGCACCAGTGCCCCCAGGGCCCACGCACATGCCATGTCCACGGCTTGACTTTACCAAGTTGCTGGGTGACATGGGGCCATGCAATGCAAGAGGCTCACATGTAACCGAGGTGAGTCGTCTTTGTAAAAGTGGAAGGCAGGGAACCCGATATGAGGTTGTTGCCGGCACGCCTGGGGTGATGTGATGTGATGTGATGTGATGTGATGTGATGTGATGTGATGTGATGTGATGTGATGTGATGTGATGTGATGTGATGTGATGTGATGTGATGTGATGTGATGTGATGCAGCAGCAAGGCAGGAGGCAACGGTGGAGTTTGAAAGGAAAATCACATGGCGAGAGAAGAATGGGGATGCATTTCTTATAGTCTGGATGCATGGCTGATTCTGGATGGGGTGTGACGCAGGAGATACAAACAGGATGAGTGACAGCCATATGTCTCCCACTGACGACGGGCCAGAAGGCGATCACAACAAGCAAGGCCACCGAGAGGGCACGACTCATGACTAGTGGAGGAGGGGGAAATCAGAGAAAGGGAGGAGGCATAGAGTGGGGCCATGAGAAGAGGAACTCACAAAAAGCGTAGTGTGGAGACACTCCCAAGCTCGTCTGGTAGAGGCCCCGTAAACCGGTTGTTTTGAATCGCGCTGATGGAGGGAGTGACAGGGGGGCGATGGGGGTTCCAGAACGGAAGCAGGTTGTTTCAAACAGGACCAGCCTTGCATGAGTCTCGTGGTGGGAAAGAAAGCCATGGGAGCAAGCAACGCATGGACAGACATGCGCAACGCCAACTAAGGACATCCATCTGCTCAGCTCTATTTGCTGCGCCATAAGTCCGCCACGCAAGTCCTTGTCACCAGTCAAAACAACAGCGAGCTTCTTACAAACCTTCGAATTAAAATAAAAATCACATAGACTGTTGGACGGGTTTGACTAGGCTCGGCCTGTTACTAGAGGGGAAGGTCAATTAAGGTCCAGGTAAGTGGGAAGGCGAACATCATCATCACAGCAGTCCGGTTGCCCTTGTCTGGAGACAGCAAGCATGCAATGCGGCGTTGCTTGTTGAGGCTGCCTTACAGTAAGGATAGTGAAGTCATTTGGGAGATTGATTTTGGGATCGGCCCTTCCAATTGGTTGTCGCTAAGATACCTGTCGAGCAAACCATGTGCGATGGAAACGAGATGTTTTCAGATGAGGGGGGGGACGTTACAAGTGGACTGCGGGAGGTGCGGTTTGGTTGAAGGGGGGGGGGGGGGGGAGGGGGTGCAGGTGCTGTAACAACCTGCACTTGAATGCTTGACGAATCCTGCTGTAGGATGTGATGTGAGTATGCTTTCGAGCATCATCAAACAGAGCATGTGGGCTAGCAGCTCCGCGGAAGAGTGTCACCGCGGAAGAGCATCATCAAGAACACGTGGGTACGAAAGAAGAGGCTGAGAGATACAAATGATAGAGCGAGTTTAAGTGACGAGAATACTGCAGAGGGGGAGGTAAAGGGAGGCAATTGGAAGGCACGCGAGGGCCTTACATTTGTTCCAGGGCAGTCATGTCATACCGCCGATACCATACCATCAGGCCGGGACCCGCTGAACTGGTTGGAGTGGGCGTGGATGGCTGTGTACAAAAGACAAGAGCCTTGACTCTACACTTTTGCCGACTCTAGATCGACTCGGCGTGATTTTACTCAAAACCATCTCGTGCCCACATCAGAGTGTGGAGAAGGAGGGACCATAAAAAGCAGTGAACGAGTACGCACACGTATTGAAGATTGACGAGGGCGCCAAAGGTCTCGGGAAGGGAGCCTGTTAGTCGTTTGGATGATAAGTCTCTGATCCACACAGTGCCATGCATCCACACAGTGCCATGCATCCACAAAGAGCCGAAAGTCAAAGTGTGAGGCTGCAATGGATTGGTGACACTCTGGCTGGCTGGGGAGTTCTCAATAATGACAGCTATAATGCATCCACACATAGGGCAAAGACAGAGCGTGGGTCTGCAGCAGACTACATGGTGTTGAATTGCTGAAACAGCCCAGCAGCATAGCAACGAACGACTATCCTCGCTGGTTCAGGAATTTCAGTGGGTCTGGCCCCTGCAGGGAACCCGATTTCGCTGAAGGAGACAGCGACTTCGCTGATTTGTCAGGCCAGCGGCGAATCGGTCGCTGCGTTCGAAACTGGGTTACCACATTCAATTGATAGATACCGAGCGGAGAATGTGAACCAGCCGGGATGCAAGTCCGCTGCCTGGGCTCCCTAGGCTCTGATTCCGCTGGACCGGGTCAAAACGGTCCGTTTTCAGAATCCCAGCTCCCGCCTGATGCCTTTCAACGCTTGTGTAAGCCCGAATGCGGGCGTTACACCTCATGCCGCAAGCGCCTCATGCCAGCCTGGCCCACACTCACAATACTGTCGGGAAGCCAAGGCCGTCGCAGACGACACCAGCGAAACTCAAGCAGTTGCCGTTCTCCACCCAGGTGTCGGTGATGTCTGGTCTTGCACTGCTGAATTGCGCCTTCATGTCTCGGAACGCCGGCCCTGTGCAGCGCAGCCATGGGGTGCACAGGGAAGCACAGACAGCACCACGTGAGGCGCAGCGCGGCAATGGAGGCCAAGCACACACGCACGCACCCACACTCACACGGGCGCGCACGGGCGTGCGCGCGCACACACACACACACACACACACACCCACTCCCACGCACGCACGCACACTAGCACACGCACACACACACACACACACACACACACACACACACACACACACACTCACACACACACACACACACACACGCGCGCGCGCGCGCACTCCCACGCTCTACCCCCCACACTCCCGCGACCACACGCTCACACTGGCTGGGGTCAAGAGGGGTTTGCGCGTGCGCCATGAGAAAGAAGCCACGGCTGCAGCCGCTGCTGCGCCAGAAGCAGCGCTGCGCCCAACCGCCCTTTGTGAGGCCCTCGTCGCTCCCCACCATCGCCATCACCGCCACCACGCCCATCACCGCCAGTCGCCCTACCACCCCCGCGCCATGGGGAGAAGTTCTCCCCATCGCCCCTCACCTCCCTTTCCCTTCCCCAACTCCTTCCGCCACTTTCAACGCCTCCTGCCCTCACTCGCATATAATGGCTCTCAGGTGGTGACAGATCTGACGCCGCGGGTGGATGAGCGCGGCGCGGCCTTTTGAGTGGGCCTGCCGCCGCGCACCCGCCAAGATCCGGGAGGATGGGAAGAAAGTGCTTGTAGTAGTAATAGTAGTAGTCGCGCCGCGCGCCGGGTGGGAAGGAGGGGGAGAGAGGAGGCGCCCGTGGTTGTGCTCACGCTAACCCCAGAATGTGCACGTGACGAGGCTTCGGATATCGGGACATCATTGAAACACTCGAAAGGTGGCACGCGCAACGTTTTAACACTGGCAAAGGCCTCAGACTGGCCCAGAACTTAATACTGCGCGCCAGTGACGAGGCGGTTGATTACACGCTGCGCAAGTCGCGCCATGACGACATGACTGCGCCGCTGGACGCGCCATCGAGGTAGCGTCTCAACTACTAAGGCACCTTCACCACATGGATCCTACCAGTACACCTTCAGGAAGGTATTCGTGAGATTACCCCGACGTAACTTTAGGGATACGGTTTGCGGGCCCAGACATCTTGTGAGTTTACCCTAACGATAGAATAGGACATCGTATTACTCCAGATAAGACTCGCTCATAGATAATTTCAGGACATTCAACGGTGCCGGTTTTTTAGAAACAGGGCCTGTACAACACAAAATTCCCTGTTTCGCCACCTTTGCTCATGTCGCATCGCTTTCCTGGGAAGGCATCCCCCAGGAAGCATCCCTGTGGTAGCTTTCGTGTTGCTCATGAATTCCCCCGGGGTGCCAACCGACACTAGTGCCTCACAGTTTGTGCGACCGAAGCATCACCGGTCGAAGGGGGAGGAGGGGGGCGGGGGGGATGCTTGTGAAGACCCGAGAAACTTTGAATGCTTCAGTGACTTCAACAAATTTCCCTAAAATTGCAGCAACACGCCAGAAGCAACATGAGGACGCGTCACAAGTAAAATATCGAGGAAGGATCAGGGTTGTTCACCGAACCTGTCAAACCGATCGCCATATCGGTGTGTCACGACTGCTTTGAAGTTTCAAGTGACACGATCGTAAAAACACGATGTGGACGAAATTGCACGATCGATGTGTGACAGGGGCACATCGATCGCCTGACTTAGAAGGGAAAACTGTACGTTAACGAAAATAAACGAAAATGTATAACCTCCTAAACACCGATTCTAGGCAGGATCGATGTTCTACTTGTGACGCGTCCTGAGATACATTTGCAGAGGAGCAGCAAATGATGCGGAAACCGGATGGCAGAAGTTGGACGTGACAAGTGCTTTTGCTGCACTGGTCCAACTGGGGGGCGAGCATCACCCCGCCCTAGGCAACAAGTTTACACAGTAGTCAACCTATTGTTTCTCACGCACAGTTACGACCGACTTTGGTAGTAGTATATGCTTGTACACTTGAGGTATACACCTATCAAATACTATAAAAAATAACTTAAAAAAATCCAGTGTATTACGGTGACTTTTGAGTTTCAAGTGTGTTTCAGTGACCTAGACGAATTTTCATACTCTCAATGTCTCATCCTGAATCACAGCGTATTTAGGACATTTCCAGATTTCGAGGACAAGAAAGCTGGACTCTTACTGGAGTTTATGCAGGGTAAAAATGACTTGGACCTAGATTCAGCAAGGGGGAAGTCTGTCCCTCACTGCAGTTCAAGAGTTTTTATTCATTTCAAGCCGAGTCATGGTGGTACGGTCCAAATAGTCAACTTCAGCAGGGCGACCAAAAATAATCACTATGAAAAATGGCTAATCATGTAAGAACACCCTGACTTCTTGGTGCTTGGTTCAGAACAACCAAACACATGGATGTGGTGGCCGCATGTTGCGAGATACAGTCTTTGTTCATTACGAGAATATCAGTGTTAAATGTTGTAGCCTGTAGTGAGACTTTTCTTAGACGGTACAAATATTAGGGTTTGCTATATGTACCCCAACCCACATCAATGAACACACAATTCAATTTTTGACATAGTACCAGATAGGTTAGGCTCCTGTAGGATCCCGTTCCTCGAGCCCGAGCCTCCCGAGCCTTACACGCCTCACCCGTCCCGTCCCGTCTCGTAGTGCTGCAATAGCGCCCTTTCGTACGCCCGTCTGCCGCGCGCCTGTGGTGGTGACAAGGCGGAAGCGCCTTGGTGAAGATGTCTGCAGTGTTGGCCTCGGACTCCACAAAGTCCAAGCGAGTCTGTTCACGCCTCTGCAACTCTCGTAGAAGAAAGTACCTGACGGTGTCGTGCTTAACTCTTCTCTCCAGTCGAGGCTCCCGACAGAGAAGAATTGCCACCTTGTTGTCAGTGAACAAGGTCGGTGCAGAGCTCGGCCGCTCACCAAGGTCTGTGAGCAAGAAGGTCAACCAACGCAGCTCCTGTGCAGCCATGGCTCCAGCGTAGATCTCAGCCTCAGCGGTAGAGGTCGAGACCAAGGGGGAGCGCGTTGACCTCTACGAAACAGCTCCAGAGCCCAGGCTGAAACAGTAACCCTGAGTAGACCTGTGGGTCTCGGCGTCGTCAGCGTAAGAAGAGTCACAATGACCAGTAAGTACGACCGGCTGTGTCCCTCCAAGTACCAACCCCATGCCTGATGGCGCCGCTAGGTACTTCGCCACCCACAGCAGCAGTCCAGTGAACAGGACGGTACTCCCTGACGTAACAAAGCGAGCAAGGATGCTAAGAGGGTACGCGAGGTCCGGGCGAGTACAACTCATCAGGTACATGAGGCAGCCCACAAGCTCTGCGTAGGGACCACTAGGCTCAAACGGCTCGTCAGGAAAGGGACCAGTGAGTCTGTGGTCAACAGCAAGAGGTGTGCGCTGTATTGTGGAGTGCTGAAGCTCGAACCGCTGAAGGACCTGCTGCACCATGTGTGTGATTGTGAAAGTGTAATGGTGCGAGCGGCTCTGTCCCTGGTGATCTGCAGGCCAAGGTAGTGGCGCAGCTCACCAAGGTCAGTGCACGTGTGTCTCTTCTGTAGTTCGCGCTTCACGTCAGCCAAAGCAACCCTATCAGCAGTGGCGGAAACTAGGTCATCGACGTAGACCAGTACAAAGAACGGTGTGGAGCCACGACGAACAAACAGCGACGGGTCGGCAGAAGAAGGCTGGAAACCGAGGTCAGACAGGGTAGAACGAAGGGTGTCGTGCCACTCACGAGGAGCCTGACGGAGACCGTAGACTGGTCGCCTCAGCCTCCACTAGGTCCCAGGAGGGAAAGTGCCAGTGAAGGCAGAGGGACGACGCAACCAGACCTCCTCTTGCAGGCTACTCTGAAGGAAAGCAGTGGAGAAGTCGAGAGAGTGTAGCTCGTAGTCTCTCAGTGTTGGTATGTGTAGTAATACCCGAAGAGTGGTCATCTTCGGGGTAGGCGCGAAGGTCTGAAAGAAGTCAACTCCCTCGCGCTGACTGAAACCTCTAGCCACATAGCGCGCCTTGAAGACTGGAGGAGATCCCGGTGGCCGCTTCACCCTGAAGATCCACATGCCATCGACTACGTTCGCCCAAGGGGGGAACCTCGTCGACATAGGTGCCAGTGGATCTCTAGGAGGCCATTTCTGAGTCCATGGCAGCTCACCACTTAGAGGCCCAAGGCCCTGATACTGCCTCAGCGTAAGTGCGATGGTCGGTATGTCAAGGGCGTCGGGGTCTCCCTTAGGGGCGAGCAGCATGGCACAGAGATGAGGGGAAGCGGCTGCCAGGAACTCTAGCTCAAACTGCCTGTCCTCTAGGGCGTCACAGCCAAGGGAAGACTCACCCCGGACGGCCAGAGGGCTGGTAGGAGGAGCAGCCACAAGACTGGTGGCATAGTCAAGGCGGCGAGTAGAGGCAAACTCAGTGACTGCGGCAGTAAGAGCAGACATAGAAGACAGAGAGGCACGAGGGTCCGTAACAAGAGAGGCGAGAACACGAGAGAGAACAGGACGGTACGTGCGGTAGTAGTCAGTGACAGGAGTAGAGAGGGAAGTGGTGAGGGCAGACTCAGGAGGAGAAGGAAGCACAGATGGTGACGAACGAGGCAGACTAGGACGAAACAGGACAGTACGAAGGTCAGTGACAGGGACAGGGGACGAGGGACGAGCACGAGGAGAGCGACGAGAGGCCCAAGTGTGAGAAAGAGGAGGGGACAACGGAGGCTGAGAACGAGGGAAAACAGCTGGGGAGGGGTCAGGAGGAGGAAGCGGAGGACCAGAGATGGGAGGAGAGGGGGAGGAGGGAGGAGAGGGAGAGGGGAGACCGAGGGTCCGAAGACCAGAGACAGGAGGAGGTGGTAGCTGCTGCTGCTCCTGCTGCGGCTGCGACCGTTGCTCCTCCAGCTGCGGCTGCTACTGCTGCTCCTACTGCTGCGGCTGCTCCTGCTGCGGCTGCTCCTCCAGCTGCGACTGCTACTGCTGCTCTTGCTGCTGCTGCTGCTGCT